TGACACCATGTACAAACATAAATCCCACAAAGCCACTTTATAATACACCGTAGTCATACATTCGTTTTTTTAACAGACACTTGCCTAAACTTGCCATATTTCTACACTCAACCTACTTATTTTATTATCATCCTCGGTAAAAAGAAAATAACCATCATCCAAAAAAATAAAAAAAAAACTCCTCATAAAAATAATTTTCATTGCTGTTAATCACATTAAATGTATTTAACATTAATGGCCAAACAGCCTGTGAAAAATACACACTTAACCCACAGCCCGGACAACAATAAACTAGCTTCTTTAACAAAAAAGGAAAAATTAAAAAACGAAAAACTCAGAAGAAAACTTCCCTGTGTTGGATAATACCTAGCCTCAAATTAGACAGACTTTTGTTTCTTCGGCCAACTTTGGTCAACAGTTGGCTGTTGTCATAAAGCAAACTGTCGATGTCGCATTACCAAAAAAAAAAGATGAATGAAAAATGACGGACCTCTATTAAATTTCAACAAAATTAACTTTTCAAACGCCAGACATTAGCCACATCATCTTTGTCATCGTCGGCGTCTTTATGGCGTTGATGGAAAGCCAGAAGTAGAAGTAGACGATGTGCATGATGTTGTTATAATTTAAATGAGAAGAAAAATAAGTGGAAGAAGACAATGTTAAAAAAAAACGAAACAAAATTCACACCATTATCATTATCATCAAGGACGCATTCATATATACAGGGTTTGACAAGGAACTGACAGACACTTGCCAAGGTTGGGATCAAGGTAATGCTGCTGCAGTGGTGTCAGGAAGTAAATTTTGTTTCTTTGTGATTACAGTGTTTTGGGAGGGAAAATTAATTATTAAAAGATATGTATTAAAGATAAGGTATTGTGTTCAATGCCATATTGACATTTTGAATAGGGAGTGTGTTTCGTGGAATATTCAATAAAGTCAACGATGTGAAAATTACTTCTTTTGAAATGAAATTTAACAAAAAAAAATAATAAATAAATAAAATAAAAAAATAAAAATCTGTGAATGGAGCAGTATAGTCGGACGGGGCCGACCATATCATACCCTACACAACTACCACGAAAAGCAAACTTTCTGCGGTTCTATATTCTGAGCCTGGTGATATTTGCACCTTTTTTACCGATTATAGATCAACAACAACTTCACTTTCTAACCCTGGCATATTTTCCAAAATGTTTTTTCATGATGTGAATTTTACGTCATAAAATAAAAAAATTGGTCACTTTAGGTTTTGGTTGATCTGGCCCTCGGAATATTGTCCGATCATCATCTAAACAGCCGTTCTAAGTATTTTGTCAGATCCCTTTCACCTTGTAAAATATGTAATGTTCTGCTATAATAATTGCCTCTAGAGCGACTAGAAAATTTAAGGTTTTCTGTTCATTACACCCGCTGAATGAAATCTCAACTTCACCGAAAACTGTAGGCGTCGTCCTTGACCATAATCGGAACTTCATGTACAATTTCAAAGCGATCAGCGTGACATTTATATCCTCTAATGGAGTAATAGTAATACTAGACATATATTCACCTTTACCTAATTACGTACAACTCCCACATCAAAGTACATACAGCCATACAATATGTATCAATTTGAAGGTCAACAGGTCCTCATGGATATACTATCAACTTCTCGGGTATATGTCCTTCAGGAGCAAGTATATACGCCCCAGAATAAACATTTTGTAATTTTTCACAGAAAAGTCAGGGTCCATTTGATCGGCTAACTATTGACCGATCTTTATCAAAACAGGCATGCTTATTCTTTGGCCCAAACCCCTTCTCCATGCAAAAATTCCATGAAAAGTTTCGAAAACATGGACCCATGTAAATAATAATATATAAGGAGATTTTATAAACAATCGGAATCCAAAATATTAAAAATATATATAAACCGGTAAGGAAAGTAGTAAAGTCGGAAGGACCGACTATATGACACCCTCCACCACATTGGGTATTATCAACAGATGAATCCTAACAGACGTCGCATTTTTGAAGCACCAGTAAACTGAAATTGGATCCATACAATGGAACAAAAATATGATTATTTGGATATATATATATATATATATATATGCGACCTGTACTTTGTTTACAATTTAACATGGACAGACAGACGGACGGACATGCATAAATCAATTTAGAATGTGAATCTATGCCTATTCTCGAGAGGAATCATGTGTCTATCTCGTTTCCTTTTGCCTGTTACAAACATATGCACGAAGACATAATACATTGTACCATTGTGAGGAGATACCAGAATAACTTACCCTATAGATCCTATCTTCGGATTTAAGGTAGGTTTGGCTAATGTGCAATCAGTGGATAAAATCTGTTAGTCCATAAGATTTAAAAGAGGAGGACGAGTTGATATAGGTTTGGTAAAATAATTACGATTTTCTAATTGGTTAAAATATTAGGTTGGCTAGGGTTTGGTTCCAATCGGATGATCATTTCACATGATTTAAAAAAATATCTCTAATTTCGGGCTTTACCTACATTTGAAAGAAAAAAATAAGATGAAATAGGTTATAATCTTTGAGAGTTATGCCAGCCAAACAGATACACATACCGACATTTGTAAATCGACTTCAAATTGTCTGAAATGGATTTCGTCTACAGAAACAATCAATTAATTGCACTATATATAGTTTAGGGGAGACCTAGAAGATGCCATTGAAGAGGCGTGCCCTTTTCGCACGAGCAGGTCAAAAATGAATGGGAATATTGAAGCAGTGATGAAATTGATTTTGAGTAATCTTCAATCCACTATCAGAGGGTTGCTGAAGATATTGGCATATGGTTTTGCTCATGGAATTTTTAAAATTTTGAGATAAAATAACATCGCATGAGCATCACTCATTGATCTGTTGAATATCGTCAACGATGATTCATATCACCTCTCAACTGTCATAATTGGTGACAAATCATGGTTGCATGACTATGACATTGAAAGCAGCGCACAATCATCCCAATGGAAGCGTCCAGAAGCGATGAGGCCGAAATTGGGTCTATTTCGGTCAGATATGAAGGTTATAATCTTCTTCAATCCACTATCAGAGGGTTGCTGAAGATATTGGCATACGGTTTTGCTCATGGAATTTTTAAAATTTTGAGATAAAATAACATCTCCTGAGCATCACTCATTGATCCATTGAGTATCGAAAACGATGATTCAGATCACCTCTCAACTGTCATAATTGGTGACAAATCATGGTTGTATGACTATGACATTGAAACCAGCGCCCAATCATCCCAATGGAAGCGTCCAGAAGTGATAAGGCCGAAATTGGGTCTATTTCGGTAAGATATGAAGGGTTTACTTACTGCCAAAAATCGTACGGTCGATTTGGAAAACTATTTTGAAGTTATGAGCCGTTAACGTAAAACACCTCGTCGGAAACTCACAGCATTGCTGACATTCTACTCGTGAATTTTGCACTTTGCAAAAGCACCAAATCCATGTTTTTAGCCACCATATTCACCGAACTTGGTTCCCGCAGACTTTTTTCTCGTCTTAAATTTAAGATACCGATGAAAAAAACAATTTTGCTACGATTTAAACAGCTAGTATTAGAAGTGTTTAGAGGAGAATTTATTACAGCTGAGGGGATTACTTGTTTAATTTTCGCTTTGTTAAGAACTTTGTCTTAATGTGGTTGGATCATAAATTGGGGTGAATGTATTGAGCTATCCAGAGACAAGTAAGGGTTTTGCAGACCTTGATCGTATTGATCTAAACAAGATTTATTTTTCACACTGACAAAACTATTCCCTCCAGAAGAGGTGAGGAAGAATCTTCTTATTTAACACCTTGAGTCTTCATCCTTTGGGATCACGTGAAAATAAGGTATACACCAACAGCTCCTCATGACTGCCCTTTTACCTCATCCGAATTTTAAGCTTTTTACTCCCTCCAACATAGCATGGGGTGTATATCAACACAACTATGTTGTAAGTGTATTATAGATTTGTGTGGCTCCAAGAGTTTTAGTATAACGATCTTCATATATCGAGTAGCTGAGTCGATAAAGACATGTGTGTCCTTCCGTCTGTTCATAATAATTTGTAAACACGATACAGGCTACAGTTATGGACCAAATGGAAATGGGCCAAAAACGTTTGTCTGTTTTTCTGGTCGCTTTAGAGGCCACAATTTAGACTCGAACATCACGAAACTTTACACAGAGAAATGTGTATGGACAAGGAATACGCATGACATTTTTTGAAGGACACAGACTTTTGTACGAAAAATTACACGAAGTTCCGGTTATGGTCAAGGGCGACACCTATAATTTTCAGTAATGTTGAGATGATATTTAGGGATTCAATAAACCGAAAAATTTATTTTAGTCAAATTTTCTAGTCGCTCTAGAGGCCATTATTATATGCAGAACATAACAGATATTACACGTTGAAGGGAATCTGACCAAATACATAGTACGGCTCTTTAGAGGATGAAATTTTCATTATATTTTCTCGGAAAAAAGATTTGGAAAACATGACAAAAATCTCGTTATTTTCAAAAAAAAAAAAAAAGGAACAGGGTACTCAAAAACTTTATCGAATGGTTTTGTCCTATAGTCAGGTCATGTACAAGGATTGGACGTCATCGACACACGTTCAGGTGTAATTCCAATTGCAATATACGATTTTCGCTGGTTCCAAAAATGTTGGACACTTTTATCGACCGAATCTTCATATACAAGTTATTTGTATTGGTCCATTATTCTTATCAACATTTCTTCAAACACTGTACCCACCAGTTCAACAACCACAACGAAGTCATTACAACAGTCTATGCCATAACAGAGTTAAATTAAGCCCACGATGATGGCAAGTGGCTAGGCGATAAATTAAATGCGGAATTAGTTTTAGAATAACAGCGAAAAGACAAAACCACAGGAGCAGGAGTTAATCACCTTGATGGATGTTTTACAGGCTGTACATACACACACACATACACAATTTTCCACTTACCTTCGTATATTCCTTTGGATAGATCTGGTAACAGCTGTCATATCACAGGCACCCTTGTCACCTGCCTTACGATTTTCTAAACGGCTACTGCAAGAACGACCATCCAAAGTGGTGTAGACTGGCCGCCGTGGTATGTGAGCCGTGTAGATATTACGTGGTGTGGGTATTTTAGTTTTTAACGTTCGTGGACTTGGTTCAAATCCGGAGTCCTGATCTCTGGCATTTTGTTGTTGTATTTCGGCAGCTTCTGCAGCATCGGTGCGCTGCCAATTACTGCGAGTTTTTGCACCACTTTTGACGCGTTTCTTAAGACGTCTCTTACGTCCTGTGGCAGCATAATCATATGGGGAGATTGGTTCATCTTGACTGCGGAAACGTTGTTGTTGTTGCTGTGTGGCATCTTCATTTTCATCTTCATCATCTTGTATGGTTACCTCTTCGGAACGATTGGAGTCGACATCAAACATTTGGGTCTGAGGACTGGTGAGAACTTTGAAGACTGTCGAATCGCTCATTTCTACTTCTTCCCTTGCGGAATTGGAATCATCCACCTCGATGACGGAATCATCACTTTTTAAAACCTGGAAGCTAGATTTACGTCTCAGAGCATCTGTTTGTACTTCAGGACTGGGTTCCTCCTCCTCTTCAGCGGAATCGGATGGTAGTAAGGTAAATGAGCGTCTGGATTCTTGTTCCCGTATGGGTGGTGGACGTTCCGAGGGGTCTTGGTCTTCATTGGTTATTGGTCTGGAGGAGGTATCTTCTGCTGCATTGGCCGCATTGGATGTTTGTGGTGGGAAATCATCTGAGGTAGTTTGAGGAGGTTTGGAAGATGTTGCTGTTGTTTCACTTGACTTGGCGGCTTCAGAGGGTTTCTTTTCTGTTTCTTCTTCTTCGTCCTTTGGTTGTTCGGCCTCTGAGGGTATGTTGTGAATTTCATGACTTTCGGAAGTTTGTGGAAGTGGTGTGGGGGAAGATGAGTCTTCTTGTACGGCAACGGTTTCTAGATTTTTTGTTGGGTCCTCCTTGGAAGTTTCTGGTGGCTTCTGTGGAGATTCTTGAGTTTGTTCGTCAGTGGCAGTTTTTGTGGCGGTTTCTTCTTTTTGTTTCTGGGATTCTGGTTGAGGAGCTTCAGCATTGTCTGCAGATTTCGTTTCCTTTTCTTCAAGCTGTTTTGGAAGTTCTTCGGTTTCCTTCTGGGTTTCAGGGGTAAGTGGCGGTGCTGTGGCAGTTGTAGCTATGGTGGTGGCAGTATCAACAATTTCCTCAACCTGCTTGGCTACTTCTTCCTTTTCTTCTGAAGACACCTTTTCCTTTGAATCTTCTTTGGGAGTTTCGGTTACTTGAGGGGTGGTAGGAGCTTCCTCTGGAATTTCCTTTGTAGTCCCTTCATCATCGGGCGTATGATGGACTTGTACCTCGGTAACAATACTCTTTGAGGCATTTTCATCATCATCTGTTAATTCCGCACCCGAGATAAGAGCCGAGGTATCAGCATCTTCTGGTGCCGGAGAAGGAGTTTTAATGAAGGTACCCTCCTTGACGGCAGTTGAGGGAGTAGTTGGAGCAGAAGCCTTTGTTGGGGACCCAGAGCGACTAAATATTTTTTCTACAGGCTCAGGTTGAGCCTCAACCACACTTGGAGCTGTGGTTGTTTTTTGTATCTCTGGCTCATCCGATACTTTCATAGCTTCCGTATGTTTACCTTCATTTTCCGCTGTGGCCTGTTCTTCAACTTTGTGTTTATTCTTCCCCTCTTGACCCTCCAATCCCTCACCATCATGCTTACCATCGGAATCCATGGTTTCCTTGGAACGTTTCGAAGATATCGATCGCTTCTTATGCAACACCCTTTGTTTTTGCCTCTTGTGATAGCAACAATTTTCACATGAGTCACTATCATCTTCATCATCCTCCTCCCATTCACTTGAGCTGTGATAGCGCTCTCGCGATTTCCTTCGCCTTATTTCAATATTACTTTTTGACCGGCACATACCACTACATTCATGATCGGATTCTTTGGGATCACCACAGCTGCTGGTGCGTCTTCGTAAATGCCGACCCTTGACCTTACAATGTCGACGACAAATATGGGCATAACGTTGCTCCCGCCGATAGGTACGCTCCGTACAACTACAATTGCCATCCTCCCCACCATCTGATTCGGAACGTTTCAAATAGACTACATATTTCTTGGAATTACTCAGATCATGGATCTCTTCTTTCTCGACATACTGCAGAGGCTTCACCGTCTCCATGGGTGGCTGATTGAAGGGATTTGGACGACGGGCGGCAAGTTTCAGCTTCCCAGCCGGCAAACAACCATGGGATTGTAAAAATTTCGCCGTCGACCTATGACCCTTCTGTAGCGAACAATCCAGAGGGGTAATTACCACACCCTTCGAATTCCTATACACCGCATTTATATCAGCTCCATAGTCTATCAATAGTTTACACATATCGGTGTAATCATTATAAGCAGCTATGTGCAGCAAACTTCGACCATCATTACTGGTCGTGTTGACCTGCTTTGGTCTCTGTTCCAATAGCCATTCGACCAGTTCCCGTCGCCCCGATGCTGCCGCTTCATGTAATGGAAGATCACCCTTGGCATTTCGCAACCACAAATTTGCATTTCTCTCCTTCAGCAACTTCACCGTCTCAAATTGTCCCTTGGCACAACCACAATGAGCTGGGGTGCGTCCCTTACGATCCTGACGATTGGGATCGGCATCAAAATCCAATAATCTTGATGTGGCATCTGCATGACCCAAAGTAACAGCATAATGCAACGCTGTACAGCCATTAGAATCTATAAGATCTGTGGGAGCTCCACACAAACTAATCAAGGTGTCAATGCATTCGGTGTGTCCGCGCGAAGCCGCACAATGCAAGGCCGTCAGACCATCCCTATAAAAATAAATCATTTTATTTTATAAAATTCTAAAAGAAAATCTCTCTTCAGAAAACCAACTTATCAGCACTCTCTACTCTTGCTCCCGCCTTGACCAACGCCAATATGGCCTTGGCCGAACCCGCCGAGGCAGCCCACAACAATGGCTGGCGTCCATCCTTATCCTCCACATCGACACTGCACTGGGGATGAGCCAAGAGAATACCCAAAATTTCCAAGGCCAATTTATGGGAATTAGCTTGGCTCAATTTGCCCTCATAGGTGGCACCACACATTTGGGCGGCATAATGCAGCGGCGAACCACCATTAATATCCGGTGTTGCCACATTGGCCCCGGCCGCCAAGACTGCTCTCAAGGCTGCCACTTCACCGCAGACTGAAAGGAAATAAAACCATTTTGTTATTATAAATATCCAAATTATTTTTGTATTCTTACCCGTTGCCCAATGCACCACCGAATGCCCCTCTTTATCCACCGCATTCACATCGGCTTTGTTCGCTAGCAGCAAATTGACCATTGCCAAGTTGCCCTGAATAACAGCCAAGTGCAGCGGTGTGAAGCCATCTTCGTCGGCAGACTCCAGCAATTCTGGAGCTGCGACGGCAATACTGGCGGCAGCCACGAGATCGCCGGTACTAGCCACACTCTGAGCAGCACAATAATGCAGAGCGTTTTTATAATGGCTGTCACGCAAACGTATCCGTTCCGGCTGTAAATAAAGATAAGAAATTTCATTAGTGCAATGAAATAATTCTATATAAAATGTGAATTTTAGTTATAATAATTCAAGCAAACATTTCGTATTTAAATTATAAAGCTTTTAAAAAAGAGTTAGTTCCAATCGGACACAACCGAAATTATGAGAGGATCGGATTCTGTTCAAACGAGTTGATTGGAAGAATACATTCCTGGTATCGGCTCGCGTACTCGTTAAGATAAATCATACATATTAATGTATGTATAGCTCAAACAAAGATACTAGCTATTAGGGAAGCTTCTATTTTAATTCTGCATCAACATCAACTCTAGAAAAAGCAAATGAAAACACTGACTGACTTGGCCGGATAAGAGCTTTTTGAGATACAGGGTATTATGTTTTTGTGCATATGTTTGTAACAGGCAAAGGGAATGAAGATAGATCCATCGTTCCTTTGAGAATATGCATAGAGTCACATTCACAACGCAAAGTGCAGGTCGCATTTATGATCCGATTTGGATGAAATTTGTCACTTATTTGGCCCATGCCACTTATTTGGCCCAAGGACGAACCCTATTGAAATTGGGAAAAATCAGTTCAGATTTAGATGTAGCTCCCATATATAGTTTCGTCATATCTTATTAGGACTAGATTGAAGTGTGTCGAGTTAAATATATCTAAATATTTAATTTATTCATGAATATTTATTTTTTCCTCATTCATTGCAATCATCTATAAACGATTTTTTGTCGATTTCTCAAAGCACATAAAACGTATTGCATACAGACTATAACTCTTGAGGACTGGAGGTTTCAGCGGGCTTTGTTAGCACTATACCCTATATAACTAGGTTATGTTTTGTCTTAAGATAATGAAACACCACACAATACATATGGGAAATTACAAAAATCTTTTAAATTCCTTGAAGCTGAGGTTTGCAAGGTTCTAACTCCCGAAATAGGAACATATTGCATATAATTTAAATTCATTTCTATAAAATGAAGTGTTCTTGTCAAAATCTTAAAATATTGGTAATAAATAAAAAGTTTGGTGGAAGCTGTGATGGTGGTTATGTAAAAAAATGGGTGAAAATGTTGTTGAAGCCAACGAATTTTTTTGTGTTCCTTCCTGATTTGTGGATAAACTACACAACGCACGCACATGTGATCCGTGACTAAGTTGCAGAATAATCAATGGATCCACCCAAAATGGATGCTGACATTTTGAAGCCGGATTTTCGGTGTTTTTTTTTTAATTTTTCTTATAATTAGGATGCGCATCCAGATAATGGACTAAACTGATTATAGGATTGTAGAACTCGTGATTTTGCTTCGTTTAGTGTATATCTCGTGAATGTGCTCACCGTAGCTTCGTTGCAATTGGGTCCCAAAGACGAAAATTTGGTGCGTACATTTTTATAAAAAACACATTTTTTGAGTCTAAAATTAAGAAAGTCCATTCAAATTCCGTGGAACCCAGCGTGCGCATGCGCATCAACTGATTTCAACGAATACGCGAATTGCATCCTTTTTAATGTTGATCATTTTCATATACTGTAAATGCAATATATTTGGTCGTTTTTAAAGTCAAAACTCTTAACAATAGAATCTACCGATATTTAACAATCATTTAAAAGAATTTGCAGAAGAATGCGTGGTATATTTTAGAATATTAAGGAAAAACCGTACCCTCTTAACCATACTAAAAAATCGAAAATCCAAAAAACCTTTTTATTTTAATTCAAAAAATAATTTATTTTATTTTCCGATATCTTCATGCTTCTATTTGTTTTTCGCGACCATTATACCGTATTTCAATGTGATTTGACAAGTATGCAAAGAAAACAAATGTGTTTATCCATTTGTGAAGAAATTCGCGAGTCGGCATAACTTTTGTGCGCAGCATCCGAATTAGTGAACGCGAACTTATTTCGAATCAGCATATTTTCAAAAATTTTTTAATGGAATTTTAAAAGAATTTTGTAATTTCCCATATACAATAGACATATATAAATTTTGTCTGTCTGTTAATTATACGTCGATTTGTTTGTAATAATAAGTCTTTATTTTGATATTAATCTGGTACTATTTGGTAAAGTTCCTTTATAAGGTGGTCGGATTATTTTTCTTTTTTTTAACTTTTTCCATGGTGACTGTTATTTTGGGTTCTCTTAGAAATAAATACCTCATGCCAGATTGTTGTCAATATATATCCGTATTTTGGCATAAACCCCATTATCGAACTGAAGAGCCTTTCAAAGGGTGCGAGATTATTCGCAGAACATTTTCATTATATGTCCATGTTTTGACACATTAAAATCCTTCATAAAGCCTAATTTGTCAATCGAAATCCCTTTAATATTGCATTTTGTATTATCAGAGTATAGAAGACCTCCTCGCAGAAAAATGCCAGCATATATTTCGTTTTGCTAGAGCACCAGCAGAAAATATAAATAATTTTATATATTTCAATTTTTTTAGGTTTAAATAAAATAAATAGGAGGCTCATGGTCCAAGGTCCCATTTTAGGTATTTAAGATCCCAATTGGCTCTCCCAGCGCTCTCCCAGATCAATACAAAATATCCATATACAGATGCCACACATGCCAAGAAGACCTCACCGAATGTTCTACCCTAAGTTACTATTATATGGCATTTAGAACCCATCCTGGCCGAAAAATTTTAACATAGGTACATTTTTTTATGAAGCACAAATAAAAAATGTCCCCACATTTTATCTATAAAAAATCACTAAAGAATCATGGTTATTTAAAGTCCTTATTTAAGTATTTTTCAGGTCCTAGTCCCATTTTCCGCAGAAGTGCCTAGGATGATATAAACCCTCTATAAACCCTCCCTCTCCTCTTTGCATATAAACCCTGTCAAAAGATCCTAGCCTTACTTCGATAGTTCTACATTTAATTGTATTTAATTTATTTATGTCTATAATCATCAAAAAACTTAAATTTTGCAAAGAATTCTGTGCGTATACATGCTAGAAATGATCATACGCCACAGTGCACTACAATTTTAACCACGGAATTTTTCCGGAGTTTGACACACACCTTCGCGTATTGACACCCTCTTTATATATTAGAGGTCATCAGCTCCGTTTTTCTTACCCTGGCATATTATCCGAATATTACTGAATATTATCAAAACAGCCCATCTAATTAGTTGCAAGACTCCTTCCCCTTGCGCTATGTTGTAATGACCGACTTACAATTGTGGCCATAGAGCGACCAGAAAAATAGACACAAAAAGTTTTCGGCTCATTTCATTGCCTAAATATTATCCGATCATCACCGAACTCTAGGCGTCGTTCTAGACCATAATCAGAATTTAAGTAAAATTTCATTAACGAGTTTAGATATAGCTTGCATTTATATTTTGTATTCCGATTTCATCTAAATGATGACGAATTAGTGCACAACGTACCAAATGGAACCTAGAATAACGTGTATTGGTTTTTATGTCGAGATAAATTTTGGATAGCGCACTGTGCTGCAGCATACCAAATGGTATGTGTATGAGTTGATTTTAGTTCAAATATCTATGTACTTTACACCGTTAATTGCGTCGGATTCCATTTCAATGGTCCTCCAAAGATGCTATGCCTGTTCTATCTACAGAGTATTATACATATGAGCATCTCTTGTTGGTACCCAAAGTGGTGAAGGGTAACATATAGTCAGTCGCGTTCGACTTTTTAACTTTCCTTACTGGTTTTATCATATCTCTGATAAAGAACACTGCCGAAATATTAGCACAAGCCAAGGTACCTTTCGAGTTTTTCGTCACTTAAGGAAGATTATTATCTCTTGTAGAAATCGATTTAAAGTGAGGAGCTTAACAAAAGCGGTATAACTAAAAAGATTTGGATTTTATTTACCGCAAAGACAAAAAAATGAGACAGTCGGATGATACTGCTATTATAATAAATTTGACATATATTGGCAACATTTTTTGGGAACCCGTCATAATAATTTACAGTGAACCCTATGTAATATTTACGTTGACAATTCTAAGTGTCAAAATCGTATATCACATTTGTATAGGACTTATATCAAAAACTGGGGCATTTAAATCAAATAAAAGCATGGTATATTCTGTTATCTTCAGTGTTAGACTGATCTAATATAATATATTTGAAAAAAATTAAACCATGAAAATATCTAAAATAGGTGTGGATTTTTAAGAAATTTTTGCAAAGATGTTTTTAAAGCTCTAGTACCAAATTACAGTCCCTTTATAAAGACAAAAAGGGACAAAAACTTAAAAAGGCCCCGAATGTCGAATGGATTTATATTGAAAAGATAATGCGAAGAAGTTTTATACCTACGGGTATAAGAGGATTCACCATATTTTTTCAAGAAATTTCGCAAAACCAAATTGCCTATGTCATCGACAATCTCAAGAATAATATATTTGAGGTTTTGCATCTGCGCTGCGCTTTGACACAGACGTTATCTTTTACCTCTTGTAGAGATAACTTGGTCCACAAAGGTACCATCCAACAAAACGAGTTCCACAAAAAGAAAACTACTATAAATCACACCAAACAGACAGACGTTGATAATGAAGAGGCTTCTCAATAATAAGTGTTGGGTTTACATAGCCTACTTGCGGCTTGACTTAGATGACTAGGTGGGAATAGGCCTCACCAATCAAAATGTTTCAAAGTTGGAATTTCGGATCATTTCCATGCATTTCAAAGACACAATAAGCAAAGAGATTAATTTCTGATGATTTCTAAAGACCAAGTAAATACAGTAAGTATAATGGCGATTGTGTGACTTCGACGCGCGAAACTTGCTTTTGTTTTGAAAAACGGCGACTTCAAGATATCCACCTTCTTTGAGTGGATTTTATGAATTGCAATGCGATATTGAGACGCTCCATTTTCATATTCTGCACCACCATGTTTATCGGCGTCGTCTGTTTTGGGAAAAGGAAAAAAGTCATCGGGGGCCAAACCTAACGTGCTACTTTCAGTCTTCGGTTCAAT